ACACACACACACACACACACACACACACACACACACACATACACACACACTCACATACACACGCACATACATTCTCCTGTCTATTGATGGGGAGCGCCACCTGTTGGAAACTGGGTCCAACGTCCCATGAACATCGTCAATAAAGCACCAACCGGGACCGCACACGCACTCTCTTCGAGTTATATATAGCGAACATGACAAAACATACATATAGCATAATCACTACCTTACCCTTCCCGAACCACATAAACAAACGAACTACGGGTTGTGCACCCGTGCCCTCACGGTAAGTCAATATCCTCTCATTAACCAAGCGGAAGATTCATTCTTGACTTGCCTGCTATAACAGGCAAGCGACATTAATGGGCGCAGCCACATGCGTCTCTACAACAATATATACCTTGGCAATCTAGCAGAAGTTTGTCTCGATTTTGCACACACAGTCGAAGGACACCGTAACAGGCCAGCAGCAAGACTGTGGAATTACCTGTTGGACTGTGCGTCACTCACACAGTCTGGGGAAGTGGCACGAGGCCAGCGACGAACAGACGACTTACCTGGTGGACTGTGCATTGCTTACACAGTATGAGGAATTAGCAAGAGGCCAGCCACTAGGAGGAGAATGGACTGTTGCTGACCTCCTCGACAGATCTTTGTTGATGTAGAGACAAGTATTGTTGACAGGTGTGTTACGGCGGACACTGCTCAACATTACTGTTGCGCGCTGTTGCTGAGTGTTGCTGGAACTTGCTGCGTTTACAACCGCGCTCAAATAAGATACGGGGGTTGTGCTCTATTCCAACGCGGCTTCCAGGCTGCGTAGAGGCTGCTGGCCAGAGGTCGAAGCACATTGAGGCACCAGAAGGCAATCAGGCTTTGCAACGGGAGTACGGCGGCAACTTGGAGGCTTGCGAGAGAACTGTTACTCTACGTTTTGGCCACGGCTTGGTCGTCAACACTGCGTTTTTCGGCCGCCATTGCGGAACCCTCAGGATCTATAGGCACCAAGGCCCTCTCGTAAGAGTTGAGTTGGCCCCTTCTAGTATCTCGAGCGTCTAATTTCTCTTCTTCTATCCTTCTTCCTCTCAGTCTAATCTGTGTTTGGAGAGGAAGGTGGCAGGCGAGATTGCAACCCGTAGGACCGCATGAAGGCTTTTGTGGGAGGTTGACCCACCGATTGCGGGAGCTCTGCCGGAGCCCAGGCGGGACTCTGGAGGCAGGGAATTGAGAGGTAGGCCGACACTATACCATTAGAATCCCAACAAGCCCCTACCTATACAAACCTGACGTTTGGTCTGTTTGACTTTGACTTATGTATATGTCTTGATCGCTTTTTCATGACTTCAACTGAATCAAAAGGGGAATCTACTATGCATGTTAATTCATTTGTCTGTGGCAAAAAACACGATGTTTGCATGCGATGATTTGAATTGGTGCTGGAAATGACGTCCTCCAGACTGATCCGGTCGGCGGTTGCCTTGTTGTTTTGCCTAAGACATTGAACTCGGGCTGGAAATGAGGCCCTACAGATTGATCCGGTCGCCTTGCTGTTTTGCCTAAGACATTGAACTGGGTTGGAAATGAGGTCCTCCAGACTGATCCGGTCGCCTTGCTGTTTTGCCTAAGACATTGAACTGGGGCTGGAAATGAGGTCCTCCAGACTGATNTGGAAATGAGGTCCTCCAGACTGATCCGGTCGCCTTGCTGTTTTGCCTAAGACATTGAACTGGGGCTGGAAATGAGGTCCTCCAGACTGATCCAGTCGCCTTGCTGTTTTGCCTAAGACATTTAACTGGGGCTGCAAATGAAGTCCTCCAGACTGATCCGGTCGCCTTGCTGCTTTGCCTAAGACATTGAACTGGGGCTGGAAATGAGGTCCTCCAGACTGATCTGGTGGCCTTGCTGGTTTGCTTAAGATATTGAACTGGAGATGGAGATGAAGGTCTTCCAGACTGATCCGCTCGCCTTGCTGTTTGCCTAAGACATTGAACTGGGGCTGAAAATGAGGTCCTCCAGACTGATCCGGTCGCCTTGTTGAGTCAGTCGGTTTCGCTTGTTGACAAAGGTCTGAGTATTCTCTTTGTGAAGATAGTTGAGGCTAGTGTGTTAGTGATTGCATGAGGTTGACTGAAAACAATTTGAAAAATTAATCAACTAAGTAAGATACAAGACTAGTGTTCTTGCGATCAGAACAAGCAAAAGAAGAAAAACTTGGATAAATGAACCCTTGTTTTGGTTGAATGCGTTGTGAACATGACATGCTTGCTCCCAATGCTTTGCCTTTTTGCTCAAGCTCTATTTTGTTTTTTACATAGTAGGGTAGTCCGTTAGTGCTCGCCTTATGCTTGAGCAATAGGCAGGTACATATCTGCATTTTGTTTTCGCATTGTCTCTTCTTGTATAATTGTTTTCTGGTAGGACTTTGACTAGCATCTGAGTTAGTAGAAGTTATTGGAGCCTCTTTTTCTTAGGGGAAATGCTGCCAAATTTTTTGCTAAATACTTTAAGTTAGTCAAGTTCCAGAGATGTCAGCTAGGATAAGATATAGTTTAGTATTTGGGGTCAGTAGGAATTATGAAAGCCTTCCTTTCTAAAGGAAGTGATGTCGAAATTTTTACTAAAACCAAAAAGTTCATTATTTTCAGATATTTTTTTAGTCTCAAGTTTTTCTTTTAAGATTTAGTATAGTAAATATTCTGCGAGTACACTTCCCTAAAGGAAGTGCCACCGAAATTTTCAAGATTTTCACATCAATACCGAACGCTACTACTAAGTAGCTTAGAGTGCAAATACGGAGTTGAACTCTGTTAACTCGATAGGCGATGCCTGTCTTGATCTTTGTGATGCAGGTCATTGCTACCTGCAAGTGTTCTTCGAAGTCTTGAGTTTCATCAACTTCTGCTATCAGTTTGATAGCAGGTCGGTTTGCGACTCAACTCCTACCCACTGTGATACCCATGCCCAAATGTCTGAGACCCTGTAGGCGAAAGACGTTTCCGTATGAAAGAAAACTTATCCTTGGAACTTCTCTTGAACTTGAATGACCCTGCAAAAGTTGTGTGAAATGGATCGGACGGGCATACCCTTGTCGAGTGGGGGTCAGAAAGGAGCATATGAGACATGAACCTGGGAGCAAAGGGGTTGACCACGTTTTGTGGCATTTGGATGTGAATTTTCTTTGGGTTTCATATGTGTGCAGATATGTATGAGAGCAAGGACTCGCTCCTGGATTGAGAGTGGTATGGATGAATGAGTGCAGGGTGTGAGTGACACGGTTCAACTATGGCTGTGAGAATGACTCTCCCTGATTTCCCCCGAGACTCGCCCTTTTCTTTTTCTTATTTTGCTCCTGACGCACGCATCTAGCGAACAGGCAGGGGTAGCCGAGCACAAGGTTTAGCGCTCGACCTTTGACCGGACCAAAACTTAGTTTGGGTATGCCGAATTACTCGTCAACCCATAACTACTCTTATTTTCTTTCCTTTAGGGGAGGGACGAGCAAATACGATCTTAAGAGAGGTTTTGCTTTTTAAATTATTAGTCGAACGTTAGTCGTAAACCTGGAATTCGAGGTCCTTGTCGAGGACACCCCAGACCCTGGTCCAGCACAAAAGGGTTTCCCCCTTGAGTCGGGCCTACGCCTCTTGCTTATCGTCACTCACTACCTAAAAGACAGGGGCGCCGCAAGGGCCACATGACTCATCCTTCAGCCGTGCAATATCGTGAAGGAAGAACCCTTCACGATATTTTGCTTTCGACACCTGAGTGTCGTACGCAACCTCGAAACCCATGAGAGGGTGCGCGAATGTAGGAAACACATGAAGCGT